GCAGTCTCTGCAGGCGAAGCAGTTGCGCTGGAAAATCTTCGACTCTCGGAGGACAGCCTCCCCCCAGAGATGAGGGCGGTCCTCTTCCAGTCGCGCACCAGCCCACGCCGAGGCTCTCAGCGACAAAACATGGGCATGAAGTTGAAGAGAGTGCCTTCTGCGAAGAACAATAACATGAGAAGGGCGGCTCTAATCTCCAGCGGAGCTGCAGCACATCAATCGCAACATTCACAATCCACAACTACCTCGTTTGAGAGCAACAATCCGCCTCCTTTCCCAGTCCCATTGAGGTACAGCTCGGCCAAAATCGGCAAGTCGATCAGCGAAGGCGGTCGCAGCTCGCCTGGCAGCACCAATGCCTCACCGACAAAGCGACCGAGGCACGGTAAATACCCAAAGCCGATGCTGAGAAAGGCGAGGTCTGGACCAGCTATATCGCCTCACTCTCAAGCTCGGAAGTCTCGAAGTCGATCACCGCCTTTAGAACCAAGGGTATCCATTGTGCCAGAAATGCCGAGTTTCGCTATGCCGACGGCACCACCTGCGCCGCTTGAGCCGTACGGCACCCTTCGAGAAGCAAGTGCGCCACGGCCGTCGGTTGCCACTGGACCTAGTCGACAGCGTGCTCACACCAAGCAGAACTCAGACGCTGTGGAGATGCATCAAACCTCGGTCGTCGACTCGATTGCACAAACCATGGTGGGAGAATGGATGTTCAAGTATGTCAGGAGAAGGAAGTCCTTCGGGGTGACCGATAAGGCGGATTGGGATCCCAACAAGAGCGTCGAGGAAATCTCCCAGAGTGTCACCAACAATGGTGTCCGACACAAACGCTGGGTTTGGCTTGCGCCATATGAGCGTGCCGTGATGTGGAGCAGTAAACAACCAACGTCGGGAACCGCACTGATGGGAAAGAGTGGTCGCAAGTGTAAGTCAGCACTTGCTGCACTGACAGCCTGAACGCTAACATCGCATAGTGACGATCAAGTCGGTGCTCGACGTCAAGGACGATAACCCTATGCCGAAAGGTGCACTCAGCGGACCCAATTTCAACAGATCCATTCTCATCTTGACGCCTCAGCGTGCCCTGAAGTTTACCGCAACATCACAAGAGCGGCATTATGTCTGGCTGACAGCTTTGTCGTTCTTGTCGCATTCTCCTCTCAGCGTCAATGAGCTGACGGCTATCCCTCCACCACCACCATTGCCTGAACATGATATAGTGCCTGCTGCCCCACCGTCACTTGCAGGCTCTCTCCGCAGACGCCCCATCCGGGACTCAATCAGACTTACCAAGGGCGCTGCCCGGAACGGGCCTGGTCCCAGATCATTCACAACAGATGGGTCCGTACCTGTCCAAGACTCTCGGCCGCCCACGCGCGACTATTACGATCCCTTGACAGACCCGGCCCTCCCACCTACGATCCCACGACACTCGCGGAAAAGGAGCAACACAGCGCCACGAGCACCGCCGAGTTCTTTCCGAAGCTTTTCGACCAATGCAGTGACGCCCAGTCTTCCGGGACCCGGGTCGTCCACTTATTCACAAAGCGTCCATTCGACTGCAGTGTATTCATCTGACCGTGGTCTCTACACGCCCAGTTTGGGAATGCAAAGTGTGATCAGCAGTCGACGAGGGAGTGAAGCAAGTGCTTCTGGCAGGCCCCCAGTACCACCAATCTTCCTAGACAACCACGCTGCAAACACCATGAGAATGGATGCGTTTATCGATCACGAACAGGCCCCATCCTCGGGCCGCCCTTCTTTCAACTTTATGCGTTCAGGCCCAAAGAGAAAGGACATGGGATATTGGGGAGCCGAGCCAGGGCGAGACAGCATCAGTCCCGTCGATTCGCTGCTGCATAGCGAGATGATGGCTGCCAGCTCTTCTACCCGAGGGAGCAATGAATCCCGCGACCCATGGCGAGGGTTCTAGCATGCTTCGACCCCGAGCGGAACTGCACTCCTCCGAAACATCAGAATCAAAAAGTCATTTTATTCATAATGTGTACAATGATGAAAAAGAAATGGATTGCTGCGCAAGCAGCGGACGACAGGACGAAACGCAGCACCTCAGCCCAGTATCTTGTCGCTGTTCGTCTGAATCTCCTGGTTTGCGGCGCGGCGGACATGGGAAAGCGGCGTCCTGGTTCTGGCATCGCAGTCTGGATAAATGGCGAAAAGGTTCGACCAAATTTGGCGACTTCTAGGATTGGAATGCTGGAGCGCAAGCAGATGGTGGCTATCTGTCAAAGTTGTGTATATATTTCTGCTTTCACATACCCCCTCTTGTTCTTGTCTCCTTCCACTTCACATTTCCTCTGGCGTTCAAGCGAGCGTCTTGTCTTATCAGGTACAGCCATGCTAAGCTCATCAATGTCATGAACATAATGCCACACCTTTGTTGTCCTTGATGGAGATGTAATGAGCGAGGCATTAGTCTGCTGCTGGTGGCGCCTATAAACCTACAGTACTCCGTACAGTAAGTACCATGAGTGCCATACTTAATATGGGGAGAATATAGCGGAGAAACACTGATTACATAAGCAGCCTCGCCCCGCGACATCGACATCAGGCTGCGGCTACGGCTGCAATGCCGCGCCCCTCCAATCGCTTCACCTTCACATTGAGCGCAGTTCTTCTGACTTGGCCTTTGACCAATACCACCCTGCTCCCTCTGTCCCATCTCCTTGCGGGAGACAATCACTCCATCACTCTGGACTCCGCCACCAGCCGTACACGTGCGACAGTCGTCTTCAACCTGAACCCGCTTATCAGCCATCTTCATCCGACCCTTACGAGACATCCGCAAACATGCTGATCAAGTAATTCTTTTCCCCACCACAATGTGCGCCGTACTGCCTTTGACGCTGTGCCTTAAATGGCAACCACCGATGGCTACGTCAGGCGACCGATGCAAGAAAACAGAATGGCTAACATGGCATCAACGGAACAGAGTGCGGACGTTGACGGGCAAAGAGATCGAGTTGGACATTGAGCCGGACTACAAGGTACATTGACTTGCCCACTGTTGCATAACCACCATCACTGTCACTATGGGTATCAGTCATCTGCGTGCATTCTGTCCACAGCTGCTGCTCACATCAAGCACAACCTGCCCGCGGGTATTGAGCAGCGGTTGAGGAGGTTCGGACATGGACACCATGACCAGACGATTACACAGAACGCTACACCGGGACGGTCAGAGATGATACTGACTCATCTGGCGTCCAGGTCTCACGAATCAAAGAGCGAGTCGAAGAGAAGGAGGGCATCCCCCCGGTCCAGCAGCGATTGATTTACGGTGGAAAGCAGATGTGCGTGATACGGTCGTCATCATCTACCACTTCCTCCTCCGCCTCTTCCCCCTTGATCTTTAGTCTCAGCCCGCCCAATCACGCAGTTCCGTTCACAGTGTATGCTCCAGGCGCTGCTGCCTGTGCCCATATCCAGCGCATTGGTCTTCGGCAGGCAAACATGTGTCAATGTTAACAATGATGTGGGGGTATAGGGCCGACGAGAAGACCGCCGAAGACTACGGCCTTGAAGGTGGCAATACTTTACACTTGGTACTCGCGCTGAGAGGGGGCACCTCCAGCTGACTGACTGACTGACCACTGGCTCTCGGGGCACGTGGGAAGGGGGGAGCCATAATTGCGAGTGGTACTCAAATCCTGCGAACGAGGGGGTCACATACATGGTGCCAGGGAGCCATCCGCACATGGCATACACGATTGAAATCGCACGAAATATGCATAGAGCACACACTTTCAAGATGGTTGGCCAAAGCGAGCATGGGGGGCTGCGGGATGGGCAATGGGCAGTGAGCACTGCATAGGTCACGGCGCGCGAGGACAAAAGGTACCTAGGTACTTGTGTAGACCGAGGATGATTCCGTCTGCATAACGAAGTAGACAGATCGCAGACACTCTATTCGTGGGCGACGCACGGATGGCGGACAAGCAATAGTATGGCCATGCCCCTTTGATGGCCACGGTCACGGTCAAGGGTCGCGGTCGTCGTTACGGGCTTGAATGCATGGACGGGCTGATCACGCGTCCATGCATGCCTCGATGGATAGGATCAGGCCATGGCATAATTAGTCACACCTACACCTACACAGTTACTGGAGGTAGACGTCGGCAGCTGGTGCACGAATCCACTTGGGACACCTGAACGCCTGAACAATCCAATCGACACGACCTGGTCAAGATGGTCAAGGTGGTCGAGATGTTTCCCGTTCCATTCTATGCTATGCTATGCTGTGCTATACTATACTATACTGTACTCTACTATACTATACTATCCGTATCAGGAAGGGCGGCTGACCGAAATAAAAAGAGAAGTACAGAGTATTATATAGCTAATAACTATCTCGCTATCGACCGAGACCCAACGCGTGCCAGCACATAAGGTTCTCGCATGCGATGAGTACCTAGGTAGGCTGTATAGTACTGTAGTGCTAAGCCTGCTCTGTCATTCGTGACTATCCTATACTGTGCGTCCGTCTGATGGCACATTCTATTCTGTTCTTCTTCGATTCTGATTATTCAACCTAGAATACTATGCGTACATGCCAGCATACAAGCATACAAGCATACAAGCATACAAGCATACAAGCATACAAGCGTATACGCCAACCCGACTCCTCGCTCTGATGCTGCAAATGCTATTGATCGTCCTAGTGGCCCTAGCTCCTCACTTTGATGCTGCAAATTCCATCCATCGATCGTCCTATTGGGTCCCATCCACATGTTTCCATTCTCATTCGTGATTGATCTGTCATAGTCAAATATTGGGTGGAACATTCGTGCACGGCTGATGGGATCGGATCGGTTCTGATGGCCGGACGTAACTCATGACTCTACACCATATTATGTGTCTTGATGCTGCTTTTACATTCCTGTTCCTCTTCCCGGCCCCTTACCAATACGGTCCGCCTCCCATACTGCTTATTCGTTCTAGAAAAGTGAGCTGTGAACTGCTAACTGCTGCTGCCTCTACTTCTTCTTCATGAACAAGCTGGGCGCTTGACGCTTCTTGACCGGTTGCATCCTCGGAGATGACGCCGGCGACAACTTCAACGGACTCCGAGACCGGGCCAGGAGGTCCGCATCCGGATTGGTCGGTTTGAGCAGGTTACGAGACGGGCTGACCTCATCACCACTGCTGCGATGTCGGGAGACTTTCTGCGAAGGCGGCGAGACATCGTCGTCGCTGACCGGTCGGAGGACTTTTCTCGGGAGGCCAGAGTCGTCCTCGGCATCACGCTTGCGTTTGACGCTGGGAGTAGTGCTGCGGCCGAAGAGCGCGTCGTCTGCTTCTCGCTGCCGTGTCTTGCCGGGCTTGTGGTTGTCTTGGGCGGGTTCATGGTCGGAATCTGACTCGAGGAAGTCGAGAGTTAAGCTACCGTTCGCGTCACTGGTAGATTGCAGTCTCGGAGCAAGTAATGTTGGAGGTGGTGGAAGCGCCGAGTCTGGAACCGTGGGTTTGGGAGGGATTGGCTTTCCCGCTTTCAGAGCTCGGAGTCGTGCTTCCCGGTCGCTGGTCAGGTCGTATGGTTCGAGACCATTGGCGGCGGCGGGGTGAGGTCTCGGCTTTGCTGGGCGACTTCCTGGCGCGTGCATCGGAGGCGCGGAGGTTCTGGTGGAGGCGCCCACGCCCACGCCCATGGCGGTAGTCGATAAGGGTCTCTTGGGAGGGGGAGTGAGGGTTTTCCTCGCCTCGACTTGTTGTAATACTTTCATGCGCTTGACGTCCTCGACGAACTGCGCTGGCGCACTGACGACGCCGTTGTGCTTCTTCTGAAGCTCGTGCATGGGCCGACCCATGACCCCGGTCTTGGCGCTCTTTGCTTCCTTGCGGATCTTTTCCATCAGCGTCATCTTGTTTGCGCCTTTGGAGCCAGTTCGGCCGGACATGTAGTTGTACATGATCCTGCCTCTCCTGGACGGACCTGGGGCGTTGGCGCTGGAGTATAGTGCGTTGCCCCTCTCGGTGCTGACTACCTCTGCGGTGTTCTCTTCCTTCATGGACTTGATCCCTGAGAGTGTGGCTTTGAGGACGGCTTCGGCGTCGGAAGCAGCTTTTGACGCCTCTTTCTTGAGTTTCTTGTACACTTTATACCAACTCATGGGGTTGGTGGGAATATGTGGCTTGAGCTCGTAGTCTGGGATGTCTCGCTTCATAAAGTTGAGCCACAGTTCGCTGGTGTTGCCAACCAGCTGCGGCGAGTTGAGCTCAAGTTGGTACTAGCCGACGATTAGCATGGCACGGCGGACGGATCGGATACACTCGAGTTACCAGCTGCTCGGGACTTTCGATTTTCAAGAGCACCGGGCGGATGATGTTGTAGGAAACGTCCCCAATGTCGGTGATCTTGTGGACATTGCGACCGGCAACCCGGCGGGCCATGTCAAGGAGACTGTCGGCTGGCATGTTAAAGGGTTGTTCAGTGAAAAGGTGTAAGAAGTTGGCGGTGGGTTAAGTGGTGGGTGAGTGTTATGGAGGGAGACAGGACAGGATAGAGAGTCGAGACCAGAACATAGATACCCAGACTTCCCTGTCGAGTCTGTCTCCGCGCATGGTTGGTGAATAGGCTAGTCAACCCAGACAATGGCCGCAGGCGGTACGAGTGAAGTGACACGCGGGGGAGGACCTGACTTTACAGCCTCGTCATGCCGGATTCAGAATAGCGCAGCCTTGTTGACATTGCATGCAGCCTTCTGCTGCGGAGTAGTTCGACTTTAGGGCAATATTGACATACCGTGACTTTCGAGCCGTGCATATTCGGGATCATGTACCTTGCATGTCTGTGAGATACTGAAGATGGCAACATTTACAGTGCTTGATCAAGCGGAAGAAGGTAAGCGTGTTCGTGCAGAGCGAAATGCCAAAGGAAGCAATGGACTGACGTGTTGAAGACAAACTTCATGCGACTCGACTGCTGGGGATCGAAGAACGGCCATATAAACGTGTGTCGAAGCGCCTTCTCGCGCCTACTACGCCTATAAACTCGTTTCTCGCTCGAGCCTCTTCTTCAGACGACAGCGGAGAAGCAGTAGATCCTGCGGATCAGAACGAAAGTTTCCTTCAATCTCTCGCTCGCTTCCGCGAAGATATAATCCTCGATTTCGCGGCCTTTGAGTCCTCCATCGCGCGCATCCAATTCCTCCGCGCCGCAAACACCCGAGAGCGCGAGCGATATGCCGCAGAAAAGCTCAAGATCGAGCAGACAGCCAATGACGTGCGCGACAACCTCGGCCTGTTGAGGGTGCAGCTGGACGAGGCGCAGAAGACTCTCGCCGTCCGCAAGACGTACGACGTGCTAGCAGAGAAGATTACGAGAGACGAGAAGTTGAAGGTCACGAGGGCGGAGCAGCATGCCAACATCGAGAAGTTGAGATCTGAGATTGAGGAGTTAGAGCGCGAGAGCGGAGAGTTGAACTCTGCCTGGGCCGAAAGGAGGGAACAGTTGCAGAACGTTGTGGGCGAGGCAATGAGACTACGACGGATAATACGAGACGAGAAGGAGCCCGACGCAGAGACCGACAACCACGGAGAAGAGGACGGAGAGGACGGTGAGAGGGAGAGAGACGGCCTATCCAATATGGGCACACCCAGACCCATGGACGATGCGCCTACACCACGACCCTCTGGACTGAGAGGTAGCGGTGCACAAACTCCCCGCTCGCATGTACCAGAAGGCGCTACACCCAGGCGCAATGGTGATGAGGATATCGATATGGACGCAGGTGCGGTAGAGACGGTCCCAACAGAAAATGTGGTGGCTGCAGGGGATATCGACAAACCAGTAAACGAGCACACAGACGCCATGGACACGAGCTGAGAAACGTTGGAGCGAAGTTTGGACAACGGCTAGAAGAAACGTTAACTCCATCTGACGTCGAGGGTGTCTGGCAAGATAATTCGATTCTCGAGAGACGCGGCCCAGTGACCGTTCGGTTTCCTCCACAACGGCTTGCCCCACCATCTGTGATCGGGATTCTTAAGTTTCGCAAAGCATAAAGGGGACCAAATAGAGCGTAGACGCCCGTTGCACTGCATGCTTCCTCCTCACGTCAATATGTCTGTCCCCTGCCCCGGTAGTTTCGTTACGATCGTAGCTCGTCCCACAGCATTGCTGGATACTGCGCCATGGCCTTCACGAGCCGTTCACAGCAGTAGTGCCGTGCCCTCCGGCGATCGGATCATCCTTCTGCGCGTCCTTTGCCTTCTTGAGAATATCGACCGCGGCATCTCGCTCCTGTTCATTGGTGGCGGTATCCTAGGCTAAGGTTAATCACCCGGATTCCGGTGGAATTGCATTCCCCAAGGCCAGCAGAGTAACTGTGACTGACCAGCATATTCTCCAACTTCTCCCGTGCGTTTGTGATCCGGTCGCGCATCTGAGGAATCATCGCCTTGGTTTCTTCCAGTGCCTTGCGCTGAGACATGACAAGACATAACGTTAGAAAAAAGGGTTGTAAAGCCACGGAGATCCACCGTCTTGCGTAGAGCGAAGGTCACAGATTTGTGCTGAATCCCGGGCCCTGCACAGCCACTTGATTGGTGACTCACCTCCTGGTTCAACTGGTACTCGTGGTTTTCGTCATTGTCGTTGGCCTGATTCTCCAACTTGGCGATGCGTGCTTCTTGTTGTGCCTGCTCCGTGTAGTACGATTGTTCTTCCTTCAAGAGCCGCTGGAGCGAGGAGATGGCGATCTGGATTTGGGAACGTGCCATGTTGATCGCTGGTGGTGGCAGCCCTTGGATCGACTATCAACTGTGGTGTGTTTGTATTGGAGTTACTGAGGAGTCGAGGACGAGAGAAATGATCTCATTTCTTGGCAGGGGGCATTCGAGCCGCGGGTCTAACAAAAGTGTCAGCGCCAGAGCGTGTGTTGTGGTGCGCAGATTCTCCTGTGTTCCTTGTGTGGTGAGTGTCGAGGCAGTTGACTATGGCTGGTTGTGGTATATCGACTACAGCGTGGCTATGACAGTGAATCCACTATAGCAAGTCCATTAAACCCAGTGGGTGCAGGACATCGTGCTACAAGAGAAGAGCCTAGAGACGATTCCTGCCAGGAAGGTAACGAGGTCGTGATCGTGATCGTGCTCATGCAAAATCACCTCCTCCTTGCTCGTAGATTCGCTGGGCCATACAAAGTACCTCACCTCGACGTGACAGTGAAGTGAGACAATCTTCATCCGAGTCTTGAGCTTGACGCCGAAGCGTGGCTTGATGGATCACACCATAGTATACATGCAGCACAGCAGCCAGAAGTCATACTCGCAGCAGACGTGAATGTAGTATACGAGTATGTAGGTAAGCACTTTTTCACACGTCATTGAGACGGCACAGTAACGTTGCTCTCCCCATCTTCCGCTTCCTCCTTTCCTGACCCTTTCACCCAAAGTTGATGGGAAGAACCCCACGATGACAAAGATCACGTCGGAACACTCACACTCGGCGACGGTCCAACCACCCAGCACGTGGCCGCGGGCTTCCCTTTCCAGCGTCGAGCCTATCAAGAGGCAGGGAGGAGTCGTGCCTTGCGTGCGTCGGCCGACATTACATAAGCTGGCACATGCTTCGTCGCCTTGAGGTGGCCTGCAAAACGACTTACTCGCAGGTTACGTACTGCGTGCGCGGATGCACCAGGGAGGAAGGGGGTGGAGTGGGCTGCTTGAATGCGGCCTGATGCGCCATCCTCGAGGGCTTTCATTGGGTGTGCTGAGTCGAGATTGATCAAGCCTGGGAGTCTAGTCCGAGTACGTACACAGGCTGGGAGATGGTATAAATGCCATATATATAAGCAAAGGTCCAAACCCCGATTGATTCATCTGGATGGTCTGCTTCCTGCTATCTATCGATTGACTGGAAGCGCTCTGGTACTCGGAATCTACACGCTTACTCCCCATCGTACTCGCTCCAACTGTGACACACACACACGCCCCTTCTCACCAGAAAGGTCAGGACGACTTCAGATTGTGTTCTACACCATCATGCGTGCCATCACTGTCTCCTCCTGGGGTGCTGCCCCCGCGTTCACCTCTTCGCACCCGGAGCCATCATCGTCAGATGACGCCATCACGTTGAAAGTCCTGGCCTCGGGCCTCCACCAGCTTGTCCGCGCCCAAGCAGCAGGGACGCACTACAGCACAAAGACCACAACCATGCCATACATCCCGGGCGCGGATGGTGTCGGCGAGACTGCTGACGGGAAGCGCGTCTATTTCAACAGCATCGCCACGGGCGGCGGCTTTGCCGAGTCTATTGCCGTGCCCAAGCAGAGCGTCACGCCCATTCCCGAGGGTGCGGACCCGGTGGTCATCGCCGGCCTCACGAACCCAGGCATGAGCAGCTGGATGGCATTTGCAGGACGGGTGGACCCAGAGCTGCCAAAGGGGTTTACTGTCGTGATCATGGGCGTGACGGCCATTTCAGCCAAAGTGGCCGTCCAATTCGCGCGAGCCAAGGGCGCGGGCAAAATCGTCGGCGTCGCCAGGAATGCGAAGGAAATGGCTGCGATTGCGGACCTCGACGAGCGGATCGTCCTTGCAACGAATCCTGGTGAGACTGATTTCTCGTCCCTGGCTGATGTCGATTTGATCCTGGACTACCTGTACGGGCCGGCCGTTGTGGCGCTCTTGAACCAGTTGAAGTCTTCTGTGCCGACGCAGTTCGTGCAAATTGGCACGGTGGCAGGCAATGATATCGCGCTTCCGGGCGCAGTCTTGCGCAGTAAGAATGTCACGATCAGGGGCGCCGGGCCGGGGGCGTGGGCCATGAGCCAGTTCGCCAAGGAGTTGCCGGATTTGCTTGATGCGGTGGCCAAATTGCCGGACATGGAGCTTACGGTGAGGAAGTTGGAGGAGGTGGATGCTGCCTGGGGAAACAAGAAGGAGAGGACGGTGTTTGTGCCGTGACTGCCTCGAGGTCTTGACGGGGCTGATGAGACGAATTTGAGGCTCACGGCTAGAATTTGAGTGGCGCTACAGCCTCCTTGTTCTGATGACAGCGAATGGGCAATACGCGATCCTCTTTCAACTGGGCTAGACGCCCACCTCGATTTCGATCCATATGCATTTGACGGTCGTAGTCTCAAGGAGCCCCATCTCATTCTCTGTGCGGAAACTAACGTCTTGAAGCTTGGTCTGAACTGATACCTCGTCGGCTTGTAGTGTCTTCATTCCATCTCTCCGTTGCGACGTCCGGCTAAATTGGTCTGTATTCGTCTCACAAGGTTCGGGACTCCGCCAGCCGAGATCCCATTTGCCTGTCTCGCCTGTCGGGTCGTGGTCCTCGCCGGGTAAGGCGAAAGTGCGTTTGAGCCATGACTGCTTGCTTGGTCGAGGGGGAAGCTGAGCTCCTGGTGCTGGCTGGACTTGGAGCGGCGGCAATGGTACGGATTGAGTCTTTTCATCCGCAAGCTTGGGTGGTGCAGCTGGCGAGGAGCCTGAGAGTTCCCTCCTCAGTATTTGATCGAGCTCCTGCACCACAGACTGCTGCGTCCAGAATGAAGCACGATTCTCGGTTCCGGACAGGGTCACCACATTACCCGTTGTCCTGAAGCTGTGCAGTGGTGGGGAGACGACATTCTGCTCCGTCACTGTCTTGGAGGCTGGAAAGCTGTCTGCAGGAACGAGGACAATGGTGATGTGGTTGCAAAGATTCGAGACGTGGTTTGCAAAGCTGGGGATGATGGTTTTGGTAACAACCTCGACGACTCGCCGGGTCCGTTCGTCACGGATACTTATCGCGTTAGACGTTGTCCTCCGCGGCCAGCTTACGGGATGACTGCTGGATGAAGCCAGCGCTTCTTCGTACGTAGGGATGCGGTCGGCCGGGCCCGAGGGGCCATGGTCTGATTTGGACATCTTCTGAGAACCTTCAACCTTGGTTGAGAGAAGATGCTCGTCAAAACGCGGAAGTATAGCTGGCAGAAGCCGTACATGCTGGAAAGACTCTCACCTTCCAACAAATCCAGATTAGGAGGAGTCACATGCGCACAGTCGGGACGTCATGCCTTGTCTGCAAGTCACTCACTGCCTCTGGCGATAGTAACTAGTATTGACGGAGCTGGCAATTGCTCTCGCCGGCATGCGAAGGTTAGGCGAACTAGCCCCAGCCGACTTTGCCGGCGCCGTCCGCGAGACCGGTGACCGTTAAGCGGGCACGAAATACTTCGCCCAAATATGGAGTACGCTACCTGGAAAGTTAAGAGTGAGCGTGGATAGAAGCACATCTGCGGCTCAAAGCCGCACGCAAGTCTGTCAGGTGCCCGACGAATAAAGCGAATACGAGGGTACGAGGGTGGGGTTCACAAAGCGGCCAAGGCTTCTAGGGGCCTTCTAGAACTGTACTGGGGTACTCTTTAGGCTGCACACGGGGGCGACAAGGCGCTCTCGGCTAATCCGGCACTGCCGCTTTAACCCCCACGCGTCTCGAATGTGCTCCACGGAAAAGAGGCTCATTCCAGGCGACTTCACACTCTCCACTGATCTTCCATTCACTTCAACATCACCACGGCAATGCAACAGCAGAGGATCTCTATCCGTCCGTAGTCGGGCGCACCATTCGATGTGTAATTACCTCGTATCTCCTGACGTCGGCTTCATGTCGCCGAACGCCGCACTTGTTGCCAGAGCTGCGACGAATCGAACGTCCAACAACTTTCCCTTTCGGCTTCAGTCTTCCATGAATTCTCCTCTGTCCAGCATGTCTTGCCGCCAATTCCTTGACAGAGTTTAGGACCTAGTCTGCCGCGATTTGGTACGTCATGCGATTCCAAGGCAGTGGTCCCCCAGTGGTCTGCCTTGCCCATCGTTTAATTAGCTCTTTGCACAGCCACGCAGCCCAGCGCCCGAAACAGCCGCAGCGACTTGCACTACGCATGCGATGCTCGACCATCTTCTCTGCTGCAGAAGGTATCTAGATGAAACTATGCTTCTCGGCAGCTGTCCTTGTGATACACTGGGCCCCGGCCTGCTTCCTCCGTCTCCCACTACCGGAAGCCTGCAGGGCGTTCTGCCCTTCCCGTCTTACCTGCTTCGGGCTGGCTCAATATGTGTATGGGACTTTCCTCTTGGCCTATGGACCGAACAGTCACAGAGTGGAATCAAAGAGTCAGACTCACTGAAAGCCTCCAGTTATACGCCGAAGCGCAGCACGAGGTTCACGCCCATGGGAATCACGGACGATCTGTAGCCTACGAGCCAAGGCTTTGCATGGCTGGTTAACTTTTGCTTCCACCGGTTGTCACGGACGCTGTTATTGGCAAATACTATGCTGGAGGCCGTGCTTGCTAGGCGACGGTGGTTATATATCAGGTTGGCACTCCCTTGAGCTGTTTGTTCCTGCTTCCCTTCATCAAAGACTTTCTCGGTGACGGGTCTGTGTCACTTCCTTCTCCGCTTCAGAACAACTAGCAGCACCGTATCAGCTTGATATAACAGCGACTTTCTTCGTCAACGCCTCCAATCCTTGGTCTATCATCAGAAACACTCTTTTCCATCTACCCGAAATCCGTATGCCTGGCATGTGGTACCACATTTCCGACGCCAACGAATATCTCGTTGTCACGGGTGCTGGCGTCGACGATGTTCGCATCGTCAAGAAGGCCTTTGTCTACCCATGGCAACGCGTTGCCCGCATCTCCGTCTCTCCCTTTGACTTCTCCCTCAACTTGCAAGCCATGACGATCGAGAAGCTTCAGTTTGCCCTGCCTGCCGTATTCACCATCGGTCCCGACAACAAACCCGAAGCTCTCAAGAAGTATGCCTTACTCCTTAGCGGCAATCCCGACGGGACAGCCGTCAACGCAAATCGGCCTGGCAGAGCTATCGTACCGACCCAGAGACATCATGTTCAGGACATCGTCAAGGGTATCATCGAGGGTGAGACTCGTGTTATAGTCTCAAGTATGACCATGGAAGAAATCTTCAAGGAGCGCCAAGTCTTCAAGCAAAAGGTGCGGTACAAACCGGGGAACCTACGAATCTCATGCTAATCACCCTGCAGGTCATTGAAAACGTCCAGAATGAACTCGATCAGTTCGGTCTACGCATCTACAACGCCAACGTCAAAGAACTCCAGGATACTCCCGGCTCCGAGTACTTTGCCTTTCTTTCGCGGAAAGCCCACGAGGGGGCATCCAACCAAGCACGTATCGATGTCGCCGAAGCTCGTATGCGGGGTGAAGTTGGTGAAGCCGGAAGAAAGGGTCAAACGAAGCAGGAGATTTCCAAGATCGAGGCAGAGACTGCTGTCCTTGAGACGAAGCGAAAAGGTGAATTCCTGAGTCATCCAAAGCCTTAAAACAAATACTAACGATTCTCCATAGCCGAAAAGGCTCAGGCCGATGCCGAGCTTACAAACCGACAGACGGAACTAAACATGGGCATCCAGATGGCCCAAATCCAAGCTCGCAGAGCGGCCGAATCCCGTGACGCCGAACTTCAAAAAGACGTTGAAACCAAAAAGGCAGCCACCGAACTCGAGCGTCTCCGTGCCAAAGACCTAGTCCGAGCGCAAATCGCTAGAGAGACGGTCCAACAAGAAGCCGATGCCGAACAATACAGGCAGTTCAAAGCCGCCGACGCCAAGGCGTATGCCGAGAAGCAAGATGCCGAAGCCCAGCTCTTCAAGCAGCAAAAGCAGATCCAGGGCAACGTCGAGCGTCAAATGAAGGAAGCCGACGCCATGTATCACGCCAAGATGCGCGAGGCAGAAGCCACCCAGGCACAGGCGCAGGCATTCAAAGCCCTCGCCGAAGCATTTGGCGGACCGCAAGGCCTGCTCCAGTACATGATGCTCAAGGAGAACACGTACGAGAAACTCGCCACGGCCAACGCAAAGGCCATTCAGGGTCTCCAACCCAAGATTACGGTATGGAACACCGGTGCCGAAGGAGACGCCAGCAGCGGCATGGGTCAAGGCATCGCCCCGATCAAGAACATCATGCAGTCATTGCCTCCATTGCTGTCGACAGTCCAAGACCAGACTGGAATCACTCTGCCGAACTGGATGATGCAGATGCCTCCCAAGGACGCACCCCAGATGAACGGGCACCCGGACGTCCCCGACAAGAAGAAGATGCTCAAGCAATAGAAATTGCACACTTCATCCGGTTAACTCGATGGGAAGGAAGTACAGACCGATTGTACGGTTGCCGCCGCTGCGCACGACACGCAAAGCAGCGAGTGACAAAGCGGTTTTGATCACTTAAGGCGGCAGAAGGTGAGCGTGGAGGTGTAATATTTTGTTGACTCGGAGTTCCTAGGACTCTTTGTCTTTGCTATTGACGGAATCAATTAGGGGATGGGGAGTTTTGAGCGTGCATCTGTCACTGGAGTTGATGACGGTCCCTTCGCTTTGGGGAGGTTCCATTTGTTCTTGAGATACCACTACCATTACCGCTAATTACTACTACGCGTAATCAATCGATCGACTGCACGTCTGTTCCTTCATGGAAAGGGGTCGATGTCCTGGCCTCCCGAATTCAATGCGTGCGCGTGCTCATGATCTGGACCACCTCCTTCGTGACGTTGAGAACCACCGCCAGAAAGTTGATTTCCTACATCACTCGGTCCGACCCACAAAGGACAACGTTCTCGGTGTCGCTCGCGGGACAACAAGAAAGGATGTTATCACCCATTCAGGGCAGATCAGAGTCGTAATCATCATGTCATGTCATTCATTTCATTCCCTTGCGGCAAATGCATGCAGTAGTATACTTTCAACAAACTGCAGCTCAAAAATCTTACATAGGTGGGCCGAATCCCTGGCTCTTGCCTTGCCCTGCCCTGCCCTGCCCTGCCCTATCCAGCCTACCCTCCTCGCTTTCTCCTCTGATTCAGATACATGGATCTATCCGCTGCAGAGACCATGTCGCTGATGCCACCAAAGTTTGTGCTGTTCCTCCTAATGCGATCCACCTGAGAGATAGCTTGTGTTCTCGATTAACCAAAAAGTTCTGTCTTTCCGTCTTGGGAGCTCTTTCATCATGCAAAAATGAACGTGGTCGACATGATGGGTGATGCCGTAACTCAGGTGCATATCATGACAACCACAAAGTGATGCGATGCCATCCAAAAAAATCTCCTGTTTCGCAAGCGGCGACGACGTACAACTAGTCAGAACCAGAATAAGATACTGTGAGCTGATTGTTGGAATGTCGTTTCGATCGTAAGACAAATTTCTGCCAGAAACCATGCTGTTGAGTGTCCGATCAACTCCCCATCGTGTCCAAGAAACGATTTTTGTTCCGCTATCCAGGGGCTCTGAATCACCCGCTTAGATAGCTTAAACATCGATCATTTCTGCATCCTCTGCCAGAATGTCATCCGCTGGCCCCCAATTGCCTTCGAACACAGTCGCTCCGGCACGGCGTCTGGCCTCGGCCCATCTGACTCCCTCAGTGTTGAGGACGTCCGCGGCAACAGGACGGTCGGCCGGGTCTGGAGATATCATCCATCGCACAACCCGTTCCAGTGCTTGTTCATGTGAAGGGTCAATCATGAACTGAGGTGGATTGACGAGCTCGCCACTGCGCACGAAGCGTGTAGGTTTTTCTTGGGTCTGAGCCGCGAAGGCCTCGGGGTTCTCCGGATCAAAAACCTCTACATTTCCCTCATATGCATCAAGGTTGATATCGAATGAATTCTCTCGGGAGACAGGATTGCCTGAAGCATCTCTGAGAATGCCACTGGTCGCGGAACTCCACGTCAAGCTCGGGACATCGCTCATATCTCCGTTCCGTAATTTCTGCCAGGACACACCGTTGTCGGGTAGCTCGACGTTTCCAGCAGTCTCCAACATGATCAGACCGAGGGCGAAAATGTCCGCGGGTTTGTCGTATCTGCCCATCAATATTTCGGGCCCGATGTATTCGCGGTCGCCTTCGCCATCGATTCCTGCTTTGGCCGGCCATCGAGTCGCCATTCCAAAGTCGGCGATCTTGAGAACTCCTTCGAAAGTAATGAGAATATTCGCAGGCTTGAGGTCGAGATGAATAAAGCCTGTGTCGTGAATATGCTTCAGGCCCTGCGGAATGTCAGTCCTAGTCTCTACAAAGAACGTTGGGGCGAAGACTCACTTGTGACAGTTCAAGCAGGATCTTCCAGATGCGGAAGTCGTCCAATCTCGCTTTCAAGCCGACCTGTGCAAGAAAGACGTCAAGCGTGCCTTCTTCGCAGAACTCGGTCTGAATGTAGAGATGTCCATTCTCCTCCCAACTGTCGACGAATGTCACAATATGGTCAGACTGTCCAAGAGCTTTGAGCACGTCAACCTCGTGTATCTTCCTCTGACGGTCTCTAACGCCAGTGTAAGGATATCGGGATCTCTTGACAGCCCACACCTTTTCAGGCACAGAGTTTCTGGATGAGGGTCGATTTGCGGATACAGAGTAGATCTTGTGATATGGAGATGTCTCTGGTGGTTGCGATACTCGATAGACCTGGGAGAACTCTCCAGAGCCGATCAGATCGACCTTTTCGAACCTCGAGGTCAAGCTGCCGTCAATGCTCGTCGCGTCTGCCGAAGCAAGATTCAGGCTCGGGCGGTTGGAGAAGTTGGAGAAGTACTCTCTCGGACCGGTAGGTGTTGCTGGAATCATGGGTGGTAGGTTGTTTTGCCTCGTGGGCGGACGTTCGGCGCGGCCAGAAATCGTAAGACCACTTGGATCCGGTGGGAAGAAGCTGTCTAGAGGCGTATGGGGGGAACCACGATCCACCTTTTCCATCCTTGGGCTTACTGGTGGTACAGATATCATCTTAGCACGTTTCAAGGCGGGCGAATCAAGAATTGGAATCGAAAGTGTCTTTCCCGCCGAAGGAGTTGGGAGCCCAACGCTTCTCGAAGTACGACCTTTCATGAAAGAGGAATATGAAGTAGAGACGGCGTTCAGCGACGACTTTGGTCTCAGGTTGGCCGATGGAGAGTCCTCCATCGCGCTATCACTGTCCCGGTCGACGCTTCCTGGCGATGCCATGATGGGAGACAACTTACCACTTGACAGGCGAATCCCGTGAGCTGAAGAACGGGCAGACTGACGAGCACCCACGGCGGGATGATGCGGAGACGGAGACACCGAGTTTCGATTGTCGGCTTCAGTCAGGTGTTTGGTGGGCGTTGGAGGGTAGTCCGAGTCTGTCGACTGACTATTGGCACGGCTGAGAGGTGAACGACCCGTGGACTTGTCGTCAGCTTCGATAGATGCAAAGCTTCCCTCTTTGAGCAGGTTGTGCTTGGAGGAACGAGCACCGAATATTCCAAGGCTCCTGGAGAAGGGAAATGCTGAGACCTTTGAAGGACCATGGCTCATCTCGAGAGGACTGGCAGGAAGCCCAAACGATTGTCGAGTGAGTCTGTTGACAGCACTCTTAGCTGGTGCGAATTGTTCATCCTTCTGAAAGAGCGGAGGTTGTCTCTTGCAAGGTGTATCTGGCATGTGAGCTTTGGGTAACCCAGCATTTGGGTCTTCCGCATTGCGGTTCTTCTTGGAGATTAGACCGGTCGACATGAAAGCAGCGGGTAATGGTTTGGCGGCTTTGTAATTGCTGGGAGTTGCAAAAGATGCCTGAGAAGAGAGATCATGGTCGTCGGAGGACGGCACCGGCCTCGAAGAACCGACAGGTAGAGACTTCGAGAAGTCATGCGAACGAGGTCTGGTAGGTCGATGAATTGGTTCATGTGTTGGCGAATCGTCTTGATCATCATTTTGTTGGACGGACTGAGTCATGGTCCGTGCAAGAGGATGACGGGACTGTGTAGTGACCGGATGTACTGAAGCGCTCAGAAGTTGTCCTTGACTGGAGAAAGGGCTATCTCGAGGCAAGGGTTCGACATGGTTGTCAAGGGACATTCGGGTCTCCTTCTTGGAGTGGTTAACCGGCGTTGTATCGAACAAGGGTCTGTCGACGTCCATGAACTGGTTGAATTTGAGGTTACTCGACCGGTCAAGTTGTCGTTGCTGGATGGTCGATTTCCGGAGCGACGAAGAGCGCTTAGGGATTGTTGAAAATCGAGTCGACGATAGCAAGGAGCTGCTTCCAAACCAATCGTTGTCGTCTTGTGCCCGCCTGTCACCAAACAGACCTCCATCTCCGCTGTCGGACTCGAAGATGCTAAAATCGAGGCCTGGTCCATGAAGGCTTCTTCGCTTGGCTGAAGGACTCTCAAAAGCTGGTGTCTCATCCGATCTCGAGCCCTCTGACCGCTTCATGGGACTCAAAGGAGCAACGGTAGTGATGAGAGTACCGCCACTCCGTCTCTTTTCCTGCCGGGTATGCGCAGCTTTCCAGCTCAATGGCTCGTCTGGAGACTTGTCGTTCTCTTTCTCTTCTCCTGCAGTCAAGCATTTCAGAGCAAGTTCACGCTCGGCCTCTGCTGAGCTTCTTTTGCGTAGCGGTATTGGAGATGCATTACCGCTATCGCTCGAATCCGCGAGAGCTCGCTTCGTTGGACTTCTCGGGGATGTACGCAGTCGAGTCACTCCATGGGATTGGTTCGTTCTTCGAAGGGCAGGACGCTGGAATCGCGAGGTAGAAGCAGGTCGACTTGGATGAGGAGTACCCATGCTTGCAAAGAGTAGGTTGCTCTCTGAAATTGTGTTCCTTGAGGGTGACAGTGGTGATGGGGAGAAGGGCGCATTGCCGGGTCCCGGAGACCTTAACGAATGTTGATGCCGAAACTCAGAGTTCTTGGAGGGAGAACGCGACAACGAACGACGGATCTCTCGGATGGCGGACTGGGGGTCGAAGTGGGAAATAATACTCTTCGGCGAGCGCTCCTCGTGATGAGGAGAATATGTTGTCATCATGGCTTGACCCCCGGCTCCCTTTCTTTTTTGTCACAGCACTTTAGATGAAATCTGTCCCAACTTCTGCCATGAACCCCAGCACCGCACTAACGACAAGACCGTTTGTGACTCAAACTCTTTGATGTCCGAGAGATACCTTGGGGGGCAACACTTTGGAGCAGTCTACTGGGCTCCTCGCATCGTTGACGCGCCCAAGATGGCGAGATGCCAGACAAACGAGGCGCCCGGAGAGGAGGTGAAGATGGTTTCCGGCCGGAGTCACGAAACTGGGCGATAGCGTCTGAATGTAGATGTGTGACTACCGCAGTGGTGGTAGCTTATTGAGTCGATATCGAGATGTCGGAGGGCTCGTCTGAGCGACTGTGGCTGGCTGTCAGATGGATATGGAGGGAGGACAATCGGAAGTCAAGAGGTCGAGAGGTGGAGTGGTGGCAGACTGGAGGAATCGGCAAGACTTGTCTGGTGACGGTTGAGGCAGGCAGAAACCAGGGCCCTGATCGTCGGGTCGAGGAAAAGGCCGGATCAGTTGGGTCGCAACTGCTGATGTTGCTGGTGTGTTGGTCTTCGTCAGGGTCCGGATGACCGCGTGCGCGGAAAGCGCTACTGGTGACAGCAACGGGTATTTGTTTGTGGCGAAAGGTAAAGCGCTCGTCGCAACGGTTATTTGTTTGTTGTCAAAGCAGGTCCGAGATTTTTGGATCGAGAAACCGCAGCGCTTGGCGACTGGATCAAATTGGATGCGTTCTGTTCGGGTTTCAATGTCTCCCGTGTACACAATACTCACAGGCCAGAAGGCCTCGCTGACACGTCGATGAAAGTCGGGCGCAAAGATTTCGACTCGGACGCGTCGGACACGAGCGCCAAGAAAAACAAAGCTAATCCGAAAGGAGCGATAGCCTCGGTGCCTAACTGTAGCCTGTCCCAATCTTGCGGGATCCGGATTTCTCCTCCCCCTCTTGCTCGAGAGAAATTGTCTTCGTTCTAACGAGAGGTAGGCGAGATTATCTAATATCTCCCAGTTCTAAATACATCCTGAGGACATCACGAGGTGATATCGGTACCGCTGCACGTCCGCCTCGAGATGACGACGGATCGTGTACGCCATGCACACCCTTTCCGGGGTGGGTGACTCCGTAGTCTGCAGAGAGAAAATAAATTCCTCAGCATGGGCTGTAGTGGGTCCGCGAACTGATCCTCCGTATGTTCTGATGCGATCCTCCAGCGCCGGGGATGAGGAGTACGGAGTACCTAATCCACCCTTTCGAGTAGTTTCCTGACACCCTGACCATCAGCCTCTTGGGCAGAACACGCTCAATAAAATGCCATGTCAGGGCCTAGTCCGGCTTCAATTTATCTTCGCTGTACCACATTGCGGCGTCCTAGTCGCTGCTCATCCACTGCGGGACAAGCTCGCACGGCGCTCGTACGCTTCCCAGCCTGCCTGTTGGTATTCCTTGACCGCAGTCAAGGGCTCTTTGGCACCATATATGCCTCGTCCGGCTATGAGAAAATCCGAGCCTCCTGCCATAGCAGTTGTGGGCGTTTGATACTGTTGGCCCAGAGCATCTCCTTTGCTGGAAAGATTGACACCAGTGGTGAATACTACAAAGTCCTCTTCCGGTGTGGCGTCGGGAGAATGGCTGGACAACTCCTTTGTTGACACGAAGCCCAAGACGCTCTGCGGGTATTTTCTTGCAATCTCGACCGATAGTCGAGTATATTCACCAACGGCCAGTGAGCCCTTGGAGGTCATCTCGGCCAGAATCAGAATGCCCCGTTCAGTGATTCCTCCTTCACGGATGGTCTGATCGAGGGCCTGAATAATACCTTCACCAGGGAGAATGGTAGCATTGACAATGTGGGCCCAATCATGGATCATCAGAGCTCCCCCTTTGTACTGCTTCTGGACTGTGTTGCCGATATCGACGAATTTTCTGTCCTCGAAGAGAAGGAAGTCATGCCGTTGGGCAAGTTCAGTCAAACCTCGGATGGTAGCCGGACCGAAATCAGTGAGAATGTCGATGTGCGTTTTGAGGACTGCAATATGAGGTCCGAGGCCTACATGATGGGTAATCGATGTCAGACTCGATTCAAATCAATTTCCACATATATGGCAAGTTGGCTTCTCCGGGTGTTTGGCATCAGATTCACAGCCGCCTTACTGTTCGTTCACTTGTGTCTCGCTGTAATGGGGGTCTTCGAAGCGTCAACTTACTGTCAGCGATGGCCAGAAGTTCTTTCGTGGTGGCCAGGTCCGCTGAGAGGACAACATTGGTTTTCTTCCTCTCAGCGGTCTCGAATAGCTTTCTGACCAAAGGATTCGAGTGTTTCGCAGCACGCTGAGCATAGGAAAAGGTGCTCTTGGAAGCCATGGTGCATGCGACGACTCGCGCTGATGATCGGGCGAGTCAGTGCCTGACTTGCGGAAAAGTCGGGTCTTGCGAAAAGCGTCTAGCTTCACAGCACCAATGTCAGCAACCAAAACGGTCGGGGATCAGGCACAGGCACCGGACCCAAGCTCCGTTTCAGCGATAGTGACGCTAATCGCGCTCGAATCGATATGGTTGGAGGACGACTGCGGGCGACAAAGGTCGGGACGCTGAGGATCGATGAGCAAGTGGCGGCAGAACGTTGTGGTGCGTCGAAGCCTTCCTCGGCCTGGAGGCTTGCAGCGGGAGGGCCACCTGGCAAAGCACAATGTCCACGTTGCAGACTGCAGGTGCAGGGCCTTAGTGAAGTCTAAACGGGGGCAAGCCACCTATCAGCAGGCGCCTAGCCACAGTTTGGGGGGTCGCCTGCTGTGGCAGCAAACCATGACGGCGATGCGGACGCGGAATCCACCCAGCTTCGACCGGCAAGTGGCTTCCCCGGTTCTTTCTCCCATCCGCCATTTGTCCATTTCCGCCTGCGATATTGTTGTTGGTTCATCCCTTCATCCTGGATCCCCATTCTGTCCGTCTTCCATTTGCCTCTCACCACGATTTACAACTCTCGATCCCTGCCATCCTCACGCAGTCCATTCTCTGCAATTACTCGCCTCGCTCCTCTACTGTCGTCTCCGATGCCCTCCAGGAACGAGTACCCTACCCGAATTTAACAGTCATCCTGCCCATTTCCCATTCGGCGTATGTTGCCGCGATGATCCTGCACACTCCGAATCCACTTGTCATTCACAGATAGCCTGTCCGGATCGTAGGCGGACAAAGGAGAGCACAACGCCCTGCCTGTCTCTCTGCCCTGCACCATGTTAGGACCACCCGCCGATAACATCCCTCCGCCGGCAGCCGGCGATGAGGCGAACATATCTCGCGAGACGTCTCCCGTCCGCAGTTCGCGCAGTGTATCCAGCATACCTCAGCTATCGAGATCGCGCAAGGGCAGCCAGGAATTCAGCCCGACTCGGAATTCGACGGTAACCGGATCTCTGTCCACGATGCCTTCTGCAGCAGCAGTCCAACGAGCCCTATCTGCCCACAGGCCCATTCTACAACCCCCCAGCGTCGACTCGGTGATCGAAGGTGGCCGCTCGTCGGAGAGACCAACGAAACCTCCACAAGGTGCACCCTCGTGGCCCACTTCCCCCCGACTGAAGTCTCCTCCACCGTCCAAGACAGCGCAAAGAACGCCTTCGAGCAAGAGAAATGAGGCGGATCAAACACCGTCAAACACCTCCCTGAAGAGACTTGCACCGGCCTCCAATCCCGATCAAACTGCTGCTATGCATGTTCCAGATTCTCAAGAACACACTGGGCCACACACCACAAGAACCTCAGCTCGAGGTGCAAGTACGGTGACAAGTACCTTGGAGACGGTGGCGGAAAACAGCGTCCCAACCACACCTTCGATTGGCCCTGTGATGACGTCGCTTCCAGACCAGAAGTTGGATGTCTCCTCTCTCGATCAGAAGACTGAGTCTAGGCCGGAACAACCGATAGCAAAAGATGGTGAAGGAAGTGCTGGTGAAGGCCCTTCGAAGAGTGGAGCGGCAAAGGTTGAGGGTGGTCGGAGATCGCGAGCTCCTAGTAGTTCCCGCCCGGCCTCAGACCTAGCAAAACGTTCCTTCACCAGCCTTACAGGGTCTAAATCGAAGCAACCGGATCCTCCTAGGACTATGACTGTGGAGACAGAGACTGTTACATCCATGCCTCAATTGCTAGGCCCTGACCGAAGTGGCAGGGATAGGGACGGCAATGGCAGTGTCAGAACCAAACCCAGCAATGAGACCATCCGGCCGAAGAAGAAGAAGGAGAAGTCTCGCAAAACACCATCAATCCATACCGGGACGATCACTTCGAAGGCTGATTTGTTTGAGGCAAGGGTTGCCAGCGCGGTTGATGAAGCTGAATCGGATGATTCGGACGAGACCTTTGTCTATGAATCCAACCCGCCCGACAATAGGCCGGCTCGTCATCATTCTCGAACTCCGAGTGCCACGTCGCTGGCCAGTCAAGAACAGTTTGGGAATCGTAGCAAGCATGGTATACGCAGCGGCAGCCAGGCGATACCTGGGAAGAAGAGCATGAAGTTTTCCAATAGCGCGTATAACAATCATCTCGATGGGGAGTCAGGGCCAGAAGGACGCGGAAGTCAGCGCACCACCAGTTCAACTCCTCGTCACCACCATATTACTCGTCACGGGCGGCCTCACCACGCCTCGATATTGGACGCAGACTCAACCTTTACCCAAGCAAACAAGCCCAATTCACCACGGTCTTCTACGAATAACTTGTCACGATTTTCCCGACCCAACAGTCCTAGAAATTCCAATGGGCGGCTTCCCGCAACTCCGCGCAAAGGGGAGGCCTTCGATCCGTACGACGCAGCCGACGATGAAAGAGCGCCTTTGATGGGTTCTGTTCGGGTCAATCGCACCCGGCACAGTCGTCGGCCTCACAGCGCAACCTTCCGACACCTCGATTATAACGAACCACTCGACCGGGGTTACTGTGGCGGATGGCTGAGTTGCATTTGTCTTGGTCTGGTGATTCTCATCGTTTGTG